CAAATAATGACGAACTTTGCCTTTAATTTCCCTGTCAATATAAAAATTTACGAACATTCTCACTAATTAATCACCGAATTAAGCACTTTTAATAAAAAAAATCATGAAAATATAATCAAAAATAATTTTAAGGAGCTAATTTCGAGCCAAACACGAGCCGGATACAAACACAAATATTTAAATCAAGTCGAACACGAACACATTGTTCATAAGTCGATTTTGAACACAAATAATTTCGAACAAGCCGAACACGAGCCGCCTCTGACTGATTTGCAGATTCATAACTCCGCAAAAAGATAAATATTACGATTCAGCCTATCTCTGTCGGACACGTGGAATAACAAAAGTGCAAGCCGTCGCATTTTATCCGCACGTATCCGCGTAAGGTCACGAATCGACCGTACACGTGGCAGTACTTCAGGTGGTCGGACCATTAGAAACGAACATCTGAAATTTGTATTCCGTTGTCATGGTGGGGCCCACTGCCGCCCTTCTTAATGAGGGGCGGCACCGGCCACCGAACGCCTCCGTTTCATCTCTGTGGAAAGCGGTTGTATAGATTTAAGGGATACGAAGACAATTCTTCCTTTAAATTGCGTTGAGATTGGTGCGATAAATTGAGATGATTTTGCTCGAATATTAAAGAGACATCCAGCGGTCAGAGATTATTACATTTATACCCTCCAAGCACAGGAAAATCTAATTTCAACTTTTCCTATAAATTTATTTTATTTTATTTTTCAACCGTCAAACCTATAAAAATGAAACCTTTTCGGCCATTCAATATAAACAATTAAAAGATGAGATTTTTTTGCTACCACATGCACGTTGTGAAAGCAAAGGATTGTGAGCTCAAGGCCATTGAAAGTATGGGTTATTTTTGTTTTGAATTTTAAGATTTTTTTTGGTATTTATATTATAAAAATTGCTATTAAATTTTGATAAGGGGCAATTATATGAATATCACTCTAGACATTTCTATTAACAAATTCATTATCCTTTATTTATTTATTTTTCAATTTCTCGCCCAAATATCAAAATTTTCATTTTTATCAAAATTTCAATGGTTATGATGCTAAATTTAGAAATAGTGATATTTTGACTGATGATCGTAACTAAGAATAATACTTTTTACCAATTTGTCAAAATATTTTGAAAAATAAAAATAATTTATATTTGTGTAAGATATGGCTAATACGATGGCATTACTCAAGTTCAATCCCACTAAAATTAAATGAAAATAGAAAACATATAATGAGTTGAGCGACCATGAGAAAATTTTATTGTGTAAACATTATAGCTATGTAAGAATTGTATAAAGGGAGAAATTAGGCGGAAGACGTGGATAATGCTACTCAACTTCTTATAATAAATGAGTAAAATCAATGCCTTCTCGATAAGGATCACAAATATAAGTATAAATATCGTTGACTTCATAGTAGTAATGGTCATTTCTTTGTCTGTAGGATCTCAAGAGGAACAATAAATTTGAAGATCTTCTAGCAAATATGATGGTCCACAATGTCAGTTGCAGAGAAGAAATAGTTAAAGTTGTATAGATAAAACTTCTATCGTTTCTCACAAGAAATTTTACCCACTTGGCATGCATATAGCTTAGCTTTTACTAGAAGTTAATGAATTTGAGAGCTTTTTTTATATGAGTTAAGAATTAATCCTCAAGATAGAAGGATATGATGTTAGTACCTCAAAGATTGGATAACAATATAATGCTCTCTATTATACATTAAATATCACTACTTTACCTTATATGTTAATTTTTCCCTAAAGAAAGCTACTGAAAGATTTTCTAAACATATAACATCTCTAACTTCAATTCTATAAGCATCACATGTTAATTTAAGGTTTTGAGAAAACCATGAAGGCATAAGAATAGAGGCAAAAATAATCAAATCTCCATATAATATAAGTCCTTTTGTATTGCTGTTAAGATATCAAAGATTGGAGTAATGATTGTACTAAAATTCTTCATAATTAGCTTATATAAGTGATTAAATTATAAAAAAGATATATATCTTAGTAAATCTCTTAGGAAAAATATTTACTAAAATCTTAGTACATTCTAAGCTCTTCTTAAATGCTTTAGGTCTATTTGATAAAGTAATTTTTCTCTTCACACTCTTTTCAGGTTTATATACATATGTTTTTATGCATGTGATTTTGAATGCAAGATTACTATCTACTTAAGATTTCAAATTATTCTAAAATTTTATTATGTATATGATAAGTTGTAATACTAATCAAAATTAAATTATATATCATAAAAAAATATTTACCTCATATATATATATATAGTCTCCTTCTACCTCCAAATGGGTCGTGCATGTATCTTATTTTAATTACTGAGGGCTATTTTACTAATTCAAAGTTTCTCTTCGAACTTATATTATTTATGATGATAAATTGAAAGAGAAGATGGACATGAAATGTTACTAATCATGCATATGCAAAACAATGTAGCTCAAAAAATAGGAGCACTTACATACATACCAACCATTTCCTATGTATTTACATATCTAACACCAAAATTGCATATTTTACATTTAACCCACCCAAATCTTTTATATCACATCTAAAACACCTCCATTTTAATTTTTAAAAAGCTAAATACATTTTTTAGTGCATAATTGTAAAAATTGAAATTTAGGTATTAGATCCTTAAATAAAAAGGAATTGAGTGATATATATATATATATATGTAAATTTTTTTATATATGCAAGTATTCCTAAAAAAATACTATCATACTAGACTTGGTGCCTTCTTACTTTATAGAAAGATCTATCTATTTTGACTTTTGGCCATATATTCAAAGAGAAAATGACTTGGAATATGCTTACACAAATGTAAAACAAAGTAGTTGAGAAACAAATTATCATACTAGACTTAGTGGTGCGCTACCTAATAGGAGGATATGTTTATGACTTATGATCATGAATTCAAAGGGAAAATGTAATCCAAATGTTGGTACACAAATTTAAAATAAAATGTTGAAAAATTTTTCTTCATAGCTAGGCTTTAGGAGTATAACAAGTCAAAACTCTTTTGTAAGCCAAATGACTTGTAAGTTAATTATGAGCTGGTTCATTTAAAAAATATTAATATTAAATATATTTAAAATATATTAGAATTCAAGCATTTAGCTTAAAATTATTGAAAAAAATTAAAGAAAAGCACGTTTCGCTTCTGTATATCAAGTGATTATTTAGTATTTCTTTTCTAATTTTTCATTTTATGATTTTATTATAATAATTATTTGAATAAAAATATTCATTCTTTAATATTCTTCCGACCAGACAAATTGCTTAGTAATTATAAATTTTTTTAAAATAAATGTAATCTAAATTTAATTGATTTAGTATATATATTTATTAACATGTATCCATCAATAAAATTATTTATCAGAATATTTAAATATAATAATACCTACTATCATATTCAGCAACATAAACCAAGATCTTTCACTGCTAAAATAAGTCACCTAAAATATAAAAACCATTATTAAATCAATCAAATGATTTTTAAGTTTAATCGCCTTGTAATTATTTACGTAAAATTTGAGTTTAAGAAATCGCCCCTAGAAATTTATATATATATATATATATAATATATATATATATGGGATTAGTTGAAAATTTGAGAGCTCTATAGACTAACAATGGACAATGATAATGTTGATCGACCAACATTGACATGCACGATTATCAATTGCCTAATATCAATCGTTGACAAAAATCAATGCCACTCCTTGAGGCCAGCAACATGTGACATATTGTGTTCACTACTCATTAAAGAAATAAACGTCTTCGCAAACACCCATTCTTCCCCCTCATCAAAATGGCCACCGAATTGATTGCTTATTACTGCCCAAACTTTGATGTTCTTCATCCCCCATCGCCTGCAGCTTACTATAACCAACACCTAATGCCTCACTTCCCAATATCATAGTCTCCCATTCTATCATAAAAGCAACAAAGTTAATTGTCAATCACCACCTCAACTTCCGACATTTCCCTTCAATTTTGTTAGGTATGACTCATATACCAGATAAGGGACAAATGCTGGAGCAAAGAGAAAGTATCTGTCTAATTGGGAGAGTTTCCTTAAGTAAGTTGGAGGTGCGGGGGCATCGTCCCCATGGCACGGTACAGGATAATTTTGTAATTGCATATTGTATTTATAACCCTAAGGGGATTAACTGCTTCAAATAATAAAGAAAAAAAAAATGCCGCTCATCGCTCCCAAGGACTTAGGCATATTCTCGAACCTCATTAAATCCATGCTTCACTGTTCTTGATTCATGTGATCCTTTGCCCTTCTTACTCAACTTTTTTTCCAAACCCTCCAAACAACATTGAAAATTGTCAGCCATCTTCATTCAACATTCATCTCCCCAATCGCTCGACCTCTCATTCTATCATTTAAGCAACTTATGGCTATCAACCTTCAACGTTCATCAATGAGCATCACTTGATGTTAATCAATATTTGACATCCATCAGCTATCAAATTCTAATGTCTATCTTCTGTGTTACCAATCTCTGGTCAAGCCAACCACACATTAACATCTAATGATAACTCCAGAACCTCAAGACTTGTGATTATACAATCAAGTGATGCCTTGCAAGTCATGCGATTATTATATTATATTAATATTTTCCTAGTCACAAGGAAGGTTACCATATATAATCTGACTCAAGTTTAATGAAAAATTTTCAGTTAACTCTAGTCCTATGATTTTTTTAACCCTTCTTAGAACATTCACATAAATACTTTCATATCCAATGTGTGATCCTCAGGTTTTTCTTGTCCATAAATATTTTATATAATGCTAAGACAACGACACTCCTTCTCCCACTAAGAAAATTCTACTGTGCAACACCAAATCACTAATTAAAAAACACAAACAAATTGGCAAACATAAAAGCTAGTTTAATTGAGTTTATTAAAAGCAAAAAAGGAACATAAAAGAGCCATAAGCGAATCAGGATCGAATGTTTTTCGTGTCACACCTGCCTATTGGGAAATGAAATAAAATAAATAAATAAATTCAGTTTTGTAATTTGCAAGATGTTTAGGGAGATGAATGTAAGTTTGAGCATGAATTCCCTCACATGCACGACATTGTTTAACCTTACCTGGTAGGTGGACAGCTTTATAAGGCGGGCAAAAGCAGTAGCCTGCTCTGTGGCATTGATTGAAACTTTCCATTTCTATTCTCAAATTTTAGGTAGAAGCCTGACTTTCCTTCTGACTTCTGCGGACTTTCATGACTAGTCTGATCTCCCCCACTCTCTATTAGATCTTCAGCTGCAAGCTTCAAGGTATTAGAATCCATTCTTTAGTAGATAACAAAGTCATTATTATGTAATTTCTCGTTCATAACAAATCTCTACTTTATTTTGCACTTATTTTTATCATGGCAATTATGGTTTAATGCACTCGGAGCATTTTTTTTTTTAATCTATATTTTGAAGGAGATTTATATGGAAAAGAATAAATGAAGTAAACATAGAACTGAAGCAAATTTAGTAAGTACTTGTACAAAAGAAGTATATGTAAGTTTTTGAATTCAATATTAGGAATAGAAAAAGGTTTCCTTTTCTTAAAAGGCAATCTATTTCTTCTATTTATGATGAAATAAATCAGTATATACTTGTAATTTTGCATGAAGTAGTTCTGCAACTTCTGAAAACAAACCATTTAACCAATACAAGCATTGCAGCAGAGCAAAATGGATTCATCAGCATCCGGGATTGTGAGGGCAAAGTCAGAGCAGCTCGAGACGGCGACGATCATGTCTCTCAGCCGCACGGCATCGGTGGAAGCACAAACGATACCGGAGACAAACATTAGCAGTGGGCTGAGTCTTCCCACGAAGCTGCCAAGTGCCGGAAAGAAGTCAATTGGAACCTCACCTGGAAAGAAGAGTAGCAATCACCATGTAAGGAAATCTAGAAGCGCACAGCTGAAGGTTGAGTTGGAGGATGTCAGCAGCGGTGCAGCTCTCAGCCGAGCTTCCAGTGCTAGCTTAGGCTTTTCCTTCTCTTTCACTGGCTTCACCGCTACTCCCGAAGACATTATTGCTGATCTTAGGCCTTCCAGTGAAGAAGAAAATGGTATGGAGATAAACTCTAGTTTTCCCTTTTTTTTCCTTTTTTTCTTTTTCTTTTTCTTTTTTTCTTTTTCTTTTTATTTTTTTGGTCTTTTCGACATCACTTTCATTATCTAGAACATAAATGGGGGCAAAGAAACAGAAGATACAGCTGGGTGCTATAATTAAATGCTGAAAAAGATATAAGATGAGTGAAATTGAAGAATAATTCAGAGTAAATTAAATTCTGAGATGGAAAGTGCAGGTGCTGTGGGTAAAATGAAATAGAAGGATAACAAAATAAAACTACTAATTTGATTTAACATAATACTACTGAAAAAGTTGTTTGCCTTGCAGCAGTAGATCTAGAGGCTGGAGTGAAGCAGAAAAGAATGATATTGGAACCAACCTTGCCGATTTACCTCAAGGTGAGAAGAGTTACTGATGCCATTTATCTTCTTTTTAGCTGCTAAATTTTTAGCAGATTGAGAAAAATGGGTAGAGAGTTTGTTGTTTGCTCAGAAAACTGTATAAACATGAAGGTATAACTGTAAAGTAGATGTCAAACATAGTTAAAATAACAGATTAATAACTCATGTGTTACAGAGGGGAGTTTAATGATAAGTGAGAGACTGTGACATCATGAGCTCAAGTAGTAGTCTTTGATTTACAGCTACTAAAAAAGGTATTCTTGCTGGCACATTATTTCATTAATTTTGCAGTTTTCAGAGGTTAAATACAAGGTAATCCTCAAAGGCGTAACAAGAAGCACTGAGAAAGAAATCATTCACGGAATTACAGGTTCAGCGAGCCCAGGGGAGGTCCTGGCACTCATGGGGCCTTCTGGCAGTGGAAAGACTTCCCTTCTCAGCCTGCTTGGTGGAAGGATTCATGGAAACACAGTTGAAGGGTTAATTACATACAATGAAAAACGATACAACAAATCACTAAAACGCAGGTAAATTAACTTCACCAAAAATAGCATTCTTGCATGTTGACGGCCAAAAAGCATTTACTTTATAGATTTGAAGCAGCTTGAACAGAACTAAATATAAATTAAATCTAAAAAAAACACACACACACACTCTCTCTCTCTCTCTCTCACTTTATTTTTTCGATGGATGATGCTTTCCATGTCAAATAAGAGATTATGTCTTAATCTATTCAGAATAAAGTGAAGTGTGCAGCCCTATGAAGGTAGCTGTTTCAACAGTGATAAAAGTGATCCATAAGTTAAAAAATAATGAAAATAAAAGAAGCATGGTGACATAACATATGTCTATTAGCAGGATAGGTTTTGTGACACAAGATGATGTTCTGTTCGCACATCTTACCGTGAGAGAAACACTTACCTATTCAGCTCTCCTACGGCTTCCAAATACGATGAGCAAGCAGCAGAAGGAAGAAAGAGCTACAAATGTCATCCATGAGCTTGGGCTTGATAGGTAATTTTCAAATGTATTCAGTTGTAAATAATTTTCACTTACATCCAATAAAGAAGGCAAATAATTTCAATTTAGAAGTTGAGCGCACAATTATGAAAATGTGATTTCCATCTCATCTGAAGATTGATCCAAAATACCATTTTGCAGGTGCCAAGATACCATGATTGGAGGATCTTTTGTGAGGGGGGTATCAGGAGGTGAGAGAAAAAGAGTCTGCATAGGAAACGAGATCATTATTAATCCATCCTTGTTATTTCTTGACGAGCCAACTTCTGGCTTAGATTCAACAACAGCATTACGAATTATCCAGGTTCTTCATGATATAGCAGAGGTAAGGCTAATAGTACTATATATTTTACTCTAGTGATTGTGTTCTGTTTGAATAAGCCAAAATAACACCTTAACACAAAAAAAAAAAATCATATACCCGGTGTCACGACCCGGCCCGGTGCTTAGAATTAACTGAAGCGATAACTGCAATCGGACGGTAGCATCTAACTATCTATATTTGAAAACTTCCAATACATATGCCACTAATCCACAAAGTGCAATAAAATTTGAACATCCAGAAACAACATCATAATCAGAAGACAAACATCTCAGACCAACATATAAAATATCTCTATACAAAAGTAAATAATAATAAAAAAAAACTAAAGTCTTATCATACACTAATATCTATCAGTAGCAGTGATCCTCCTCCTGTAAACTAAATCTCTCCTCTTAGACATATTCTCCAATGTTTTACTTCTAAAAAAAATTATTATTTGTAACAGTAAGTATGACTTATCAATTCCCGTTTCACTTCAATTATTTATTGTTTTGACCTTTTTAATAGTCATCACAGGATTACTGTCATACACGAATATATCATAAAAAATGTATCTGATGACACCCTCAAAATTATACCTGAAGGTACCCTCATATAATATTTGAATGTACACATTTATTATTCTCTTTAACATGCAAGAGTACAATGCATCATTTACTTAACATTTATGAATTAATCCTGCAATACTTAATCCTTTACTTAACATTTTATTTCCTTTAAATTATCTCATTTTAAAATTATTAAACATTTATTTTCCTTTTTCCCTTTCATTTCCTTTTATTCTTAAGCTACAACATGCATGCAATCATTAAATAATTATCTAAAGAATTAAAAAAGTTCTTTATTTAATAAACTTTAAATTTAATACATATAAAAAAATAATTACTTCCATTTGCTTACAAGAAACTTTTGAAATAATTTATCCCTTCCATTTGCTTCTTTTAACTAATACCAAAATCAATTAAAAGTACATATAACTATAAGAATTACATTCTAAAGAAAATCTTATTTATATATAAAGAATTATTAAAACACCAACCTTTATTAACTTTAGGATTATTTGCCTTCCAAAAAATCCAAGAATTTATTGGCTTTCTTTCTCACTCCTCAAAAGTAATAAATTTCAATAGTATTAATTTAACTAATTATATTATGAATTTCAATAACAACAAAAGACTTAACTTTTACCTTATAGGTTTTGAGTTCGATCTCCTTCATTGCTTGCTTCACAAACTTCTCCTCCTCCTTCGAAGTGAAAATCACTGTATTAAAGTTCTGATTAAAGTTTATCTTTCACTTAAACACTCACACACACATACACATAAAACTTTATATATATATATATATATATAATATGTTTATCGCGGGAGGCTCTGCTAGGGTTTCATTTACTTAGTCTGCTTAAGCTGACCTCTTCGGCTGCTTTATGCGGCTTCGTCAGCTTCATCATCTGCATTGTTCGTGATTTGGTCGTCTCATACGACTCAAATTGTCGATCGAGCCCCACGTCTCCAACTCGCCTACCTCCAACAATCAGCTCCGTTCCTATTTCGGTGACGACTAATTCGAGTGAGATCCTTCCCTTTCGCTTCTTTCATGGTTTTTGCGTGTTTTCTCGTCGTTGTCGTGATTTTCTCCTCTCAAAAGAGTCGCATGCCTCGGTTTCTTCTTATCCGCCGAATTCTTCTTCCACCACGTGCAAGCACGTCATTACTCCTCTCACACACGATACAAACTTGCTTCCGGTGATTGAGAGTTCTACTAGCCGCCGCTCCTTAGGGTATTTTCAGATTTCGTTACTGATTTCATGACAACTCTCTCCACTTCTTTTGGGAATTAACCAACTCCGAACGTAGGCAAACCCTCTTATGTTGTTGTGGTTGATAAAGGCAGTGATCCATTCCAGCTTGGAGATACATTGGTTTTTCCTCAAAAGTACCATGATTCATTTGCAGGGCAGGGAGATTGTAACTTCTTACAAAAAACAAGAAAGCCGGGCAAACCAACAATAATCTTTTCTGTCATTGAAGTTTCAACACTTGCTGAAAATTATAAATTTACACTGATTGAAAAGTTCCAACTGGGTCACTCGAAGATGAATTCTATCAGGAAAACTTTTTAAGATTTCAAATTATCTGGGGGGTTGGAAGGTGGGCCTTTTGATGGGAGACATGTTATGATACAGTTAAGCAAAGAAAAAGATTATGCCAAGATATTCTATATTAAATACATCTTTATTGAGGGTAAACATATGAAATTGCTTAAATGGTCTTCTGACTTTGATCCACATCAAGAACCTCCCATTGTGCCCAAATGGTACAAATTATCTGGACTCAAACTTCATTTCTTCAACCATCAAGTTCTATATTCTATTGGTGTTATTCTACGAAAACCAATGAAGTTAGATCATCTTGGGTGGAAGCTCGGATTATAGTTTGTTGTTGGACCCCTTTCCTAGAACCCGAGGGAGGGGGAGAGGAAAACCCTCCCATCATGACTGATCTCCCTTGTGTTGGCCTTATTGCGTGCTTTACAGGTGATGGGTATTGAAGCTTTGGGGGTTATTTTTCTTTTGAGGAATACTTGTACTTTTGGACCTTTTTTGCATGTGTTTGTATACCTTTTGAGTGGGTCATTTGTATCAACTCACTAAAATTTATCAATATTTTTTATAGTAATACATGAATTAACCTTATAAAATTCTCAAATATTTACCTTATAAATCTTTGCAAGCAGCCCTAAGCTCACGCACGCCGAAGTTCAACATCCCTTCTCTCCTTCCTGCACGCGAGCACAAAATGATCTCTTCTTCTTCTTTGCGGCTCGGTGGAACTTGACAGAGCAACGCACGCAAAGGTCCAGCTCTGACCTAACCCACACTCGACCACGCGAGCTTTTCCTCCCCCTTCGGCTTCTTCTTCTTATCCTTCGTCTTCTTCTTCTATGCCGACTTCATCTTCCACCGCATGCAAGCACGGTTACAGTGCATAAAGCTGATCCCCATTCCTTCCTCTATAAGCAGAGTTCAGACTTGACTTCGAAGGTTTTCTCCTTCGAATTTTTCTTCTTCCTCTTTGCGCACTCAATTCTTCTCCTTCAATTTCGATGAACACAACAGAGAGCAAGCAGAGGCTTTGACTCACTTTCCTTCTATTCCTCTATTTTCTCTTGCGAGATCAGAATGAAGGTTACCTTTTTCCTCCTTCTTTGGCTAGGGCACACATGATCTTTCCTTCTTTTGATCTCTCTATTTTTCTCTCTCGTTCTCTTCCGCTCTCTTGCTCGTTCGCTTCTATTGGATGGTTCGAATAAAAACAAAACTTCATTTCACATAGTTCTTCTGAGTTAATCATCTTCAGCCACGTATACTACAGATAAAAAATTTTCATGAATAAATGCAGGAAAGCTTATAAGAAATTAATATACATAATTGCATAAAAGAAAAGAATAAATGCGTTAACCAGATTATTTTACAGCAGAGCCACATAACCATCGCGATGTATGATCAATGATACGTAAATAACTGAAACACTAATCAGATTTTAATATGCCTAATACATGGAATAACAGTATCAATAGAAGGATGAAAAGATACCAACTTGGTCTGAGCTAAATAAAATATTTTACTAAGAACTGTCTCATCTACTTGGCTTCGGCAATATTAATTTAAGAAAAAGCATTGTAATAGGATCCAGGTCCTTTCGGAGAAAAAAAAAAAAAAGAGGCTTCTCCTTAGTGGTCTCCCAAATGTGTTCGAGCTTGCCCCACGGATGTATTGGAAATGATACCTTGGGACCGATGTAAAGCTAAGCAAATTGCACCAAGAACCGAAGATTGTGTAGGTTGTAAAAGATGTGAATCCTCTTGTCCAACGGCTTTTTTGAGTGTCCGTGATTTAAGTGTTCGTGTTTATTTATGGCATGAAACAACTCACAACATGGGTCTTTCTTATTGATATGTGACTGAAAGTGATCCAGCATGCCTTAGATGTCATTCCAGAGTTGGTTCCTCTAAACAAATTTGTTTATCAGATGCATCTAGTTGAGTTGGGGAGTGAGAGACAATTACATATCTAGTGGCTTAAGAGTTAATTTAAGAGAATTCACATCTGTATGCAGTTCTAGCTTAAATTGTGTCAAAATAGAATTTACACTTATTCTATCAAGATGTGATTCGGAATAAAAATGACAACATGATTAATTTACTGGGAGACTACAACATTTCCACTATCGTCAATGTGGCTAACCTGACTCGATGTCAAAAGCTTCGACGAATGATGTTGAAGCTCCCCACACCCAGAGAGACTTATGCGGGAGACACACAAGCTCCACACACGTGGGAATTGAAGGACTGTCTGGGCGAAACTCCATGCACGCGGGATCATCTGCGTGCACGGGATCGCATTTCACTTGGAGCGCGAAGTTGTGCATGGGCGCACTTGGACGATTTGGTTCAGACATCCGTGAGATCCATCCGATTTTTCTTTTGGGTTTTGAGCCTATTTTCAACAGTGAGGCCACTCCGTAGTTATCTAGCATTATATATTTGCTGCTTTTGTGTTTCGAGAGGGCAGGTTTTGTGTGAGTTTGCTAGAGACAGCCGCCGACTTCTCCCTCTCCATTCCAAAATTGTATCTAAGAGTGAGTGATACTCCGGTTGTATTTCGCTCCCAAAATAGTTTTTATGCTCCTAACCTTCCGTAACCTTCCCAAATCGATCCCTGTCGCCCCTCTCTGCTGCAACCAGAGGAACAACAGTTTTTACTATCGTTTTCTGCATTTCCACCATTTCCAGCCATCACCCTCCCTTCCAAGACTTGATGCCACCAACCACGGCCGCCCTCCACCATTCCCCAACCTTCCTGCATCGCTTCCCGCCTAGTTATTTCACTGCTGCCGACCGAAACTGCTGGAAATCCCAATTTCCCTGCAGTATTGAACCTTCCCAGCCAATTTCTCCTCCATCGAACTAGCCGCCTCGCATGGAAACTCAATCCACTGCTGCTTGCTCTCATTCAAGCCCCTCGGGGACAACTGATTCTTGTTGTTTTATGCCGGTTACACCTATTCTTTGCCTGCTTCCACCTAGAATAGGAAGCTGACACTGCCTTGCCGTTGTTTCCCCACAGTCCTGCACCTTCTCAATCTTCCCTCCATCTTTTCAAGCCCCTGATGGCCACCAACACCACTCCTCGAGATCCACCCTAGCAGCGCATCATGTGTCGTGTTGTTGCTATTTTCTATTTTCAGTGTGTTGTGTGTCGTGTTTGTTGCTATTTCCATTTCTGTTTATGTTTGTATGGTTGTAATTCTCTATTTGAATTCAACATTATTATTTGGTTTTTCTATTGTTGTTTGGGTTAACTTTGATATCACAAACGTCGTGAATACACACTCGCCTCCATCCGGGAAACATAAAGGGAGGCATAAGCCCTCACAAAACTCAAAATAAACAAAAGGCCCATAATACAATAAACAAATACATATTTATAATCAACAAAAGACCTAAATCTAATAAAAACAAACAGACAAAAATATACTTGCTGCTATTAGGAGTGGGCGGCAACCCAATAACTAGAGAGAGGGTCAACTGTCCCTCCCACAATTGGACCGAACCAATCCGGGGTCACTCCCCGCCCCGCGTCATCTTCAAAGACCATTTTGAAGCCCCTCCTTTAAAGTGTATTAGCAGATTTTGCGCTATATTAACTTATATGATGTCCAAACTTTAAACTGCAAACAGCAAAGCATCCAAAAAAAAAACAACATTAATGCCATTATCATCTGACTGACTTGGCATTCTAAGTAGGGGATTGAGTAATAACTAAGCAACTGATAAAATATATTGCATCTTATATACAGCAATTTCAGTAACACCCTAGATGACTATATCATTGAATTATGTCAGGCTGGAAAGACGGTCGTAACTACAATACATCAGCCATCTAGCAGACTCTTTCACAAATTTGAAAAATTAATTCTCCTTGGAAAAGGAAGCCTGCTATATTTTGGGAAGGCATCGGAAGCCATGTTTTACTTCCAATCCATTGGATGTTCTCCTCTAATTGCAATGAACCCGGCAGAATTCTTGTTAGACCTTGCCAACGGTAACATAAATGATGTCTCCGTACCATCAGAACTAGATGACAAGGTGCAAACAGAGAATTTGAAAAGCGACAACAAGAGTGATAAACTAACCCCAAAAGATGTACATGAGGTAATACTCGTCTTATCATTGGACACACATTTCCAATAATGTAACATTTTGTCAAAGATTGATGCAGCAGTCGCTAAATTAAAGCTCAAACAAATTCTCCAAGCCATTGGATGGTGACAAGTGGAAATGCACGTGCCAGATGTCATCCATCCAATGAACCTCGAGATTTTTTTTAATGCTCTTTGTTGGGCAACAAAGCATTTCTTTATTAAAACTTGGGGCATTCACATACAGACCACCCAATTCTTATGTATTTACATATCTAACAACTAAACCTTTCATTGTACATTCAAAGTTTAGGTGTTAGATATGTAATACATAGTGGTATATATGTAAATCTTCCTAAAAACATTGAAGCTAGACTTCATTTTATGCATGAAAACACACACTGAAGTCCATAACCTGGGCTCTAGTGATCGGTTGATGAACCATATGACAAATATTAATACTATCATATATGAAAAAGCTACAATAAAAGAGCAACAAAAAAACAAAAGTAAGCACATTCAAATTTTGTTAAAATTTCAACGAAACAGTACCTGGTGGAAGCCTACGAGACTCGAGTTGCTGACAAAGAAAAGAAAAGGTTATTGATGCCAATTCCTATTGCTGATGATCTGAAGGCGAAGCTATTGTCACCAAATAGAGAATGGGGAGCAAATTGGAGACAACAATATTCGATTCTATTTTGGAGAGGACTCAAGGAAAGGCGACATGATTACCTGAGTTGGATGAGAATTACTCAGGTTATCGCAACAGCAATCATCCTAGGTTTACTCTGGTGGCAGTCAGATAGCAACACAGTAAAAGGACTGGAAGACCAGGTACTAATTCTCAGACTTCCTTTTTATCATTTTTTCACAATAATTGCTTGAATAAAATAATGCTCTCTATAATATTAAATGTGTAAGCCCATGAGACGAATCAAACTTAAAAATTAAGCTCGAGCTTGAACTCGATTAATTAATCAAAAACAAGCTCAGGCAGGGTATGGCTTAACTTGCTTACACCCCTGCCTATATGCCAGGTGTGATTATCACAAAGTATATACAAAATATTAGGGAAATGGCTTTAGGCCATCCCACTTTATTTGATTACCTATTTGCTGATTTTAAGATTCATGTGGTCTCATTGTTCTTTATATTGCTTCACTTTGAAATTTGCTAGTGTCATAATTTAAATTCTATCATTGTAAATGTCACTCAGGCCTTTAGAAAGAATTCATTTCTAAGAGATTTGCATTGCTAACTGCTGAAAGTTTATCTGATAAAGAGACCTTACATAAAATAAAATTTCGGATGATTTGAAGAAGTTCAGTATTCCTATTTTGGCAATTTCATAGCATCACGTTCTAATTATATTAAATTTTAAAATTATAAAAAAACTTTTATACTTCAACTACAAAAAAAATTTTTCTTGATATTGAACACAATAACAAAATTAATAATGCAGATTGTATTAACTAGTCAATTGTGGTTTAGATTTTTATTAAGCAACTATAATCCCAATTATCATATAATTATATCAAAGTTACTCTCTAATTTTTTAATATTTTCACTTCATTAAATTAATAATTAAATAAAAATATTGGATGAATGGAAAACTTTAACAAGGTTTATTAGTTTTTTTTTAATATTTATGGAAAACAGTTGAAGTAAACATATACTAAATTCATGGATATCAAAAACGCCTAAATGTGTTGGCTATATCTAGGCAGGTGTGCTCGCAATATCTAGTTAGAAGATAAAATTAAAATTACATGATTTACAGCAGGATGTGAAGCAACAAATATTAGGTTAAACCATCTTTCATTCAAACAAGTAAACAACGAGTCGATCATAGGCATTGCATGTATAGTAAGGTAGCCTAGGAAGACAGTTCAAACCCTGCAGCTCAAATAAACTTAGTAGAATTTATAAGTAACATTTAAGTGGGTGAATCTGAGATATGGTTGTGGAATTAAGTATTAACTTAGAGGCTTGATGGATTCAGTTGTGTGGTTCGCAATCGATCAATCTACATTGGAAATTGGGCCTAAAAAAAAGTTTTCCACCAAGAAAGAATAAGATTAGCTGCTCATGGATACGTTGAAATCAAACCAATCTAAAAGGCTAATTCAAATCAGTTCTGAGTGACTTTCAATATCATGATCTCAAAAAGTTTGGTGTATGATGAAAATAATCATAATCATACCGTAGTTAGCCCAAATAACAACAAGCAAACATATATTATTACTGAAAAAGCTAATATGCGGCTACAAATAACACAAGGAAATAGAAAAAAATAACAGACACAACACACAACTAGGATCGTATCCCACAGGGGAGGTGATCAGCTAGCAGTTTGGAAGGTTGGATGGTGGAGCAGAGGGAACGTGAGAAATTATCGGAACATAGAGACGGCGGGCTGCTCTGGGCGGTGACAGCAAAGAGGAGGGGCTGGACAGCAAGCAAGGTGGCACAGGAATTGGTTTTGTGCAGCTGGGAGCGGGTATTCGGGGCGGCTGCAACGAGGGGGATAATGGCAGCGGCGGAGGGGGAAAATGTGTGGGACTGCAAAACAACAAAAGGAGGGTTGTTCTAGGAGTGCAGCAGCGCGGAGGATGGTTGGACAGCGAGGAGCTGCAGGAAGAAAAACTATTGTCTGGGTAGCCTGCAGGGAGGAGGAATGCAAGGGAAGGGAAGTTGAAGATAAATACTCTCTCAGGGGAGAGCTACAATCAAAACACCACACGACCCTTAGAGGGTGACCACCACCTCAGAAGGAGATACACCCGGAGCATCACTCGCACTTGGATAAACCTAGAAGAGAAAATAAGAGATGTCAATGGCTGTCCTGACAGAAACACAATCAAAACTACAAAACTAAAATGCGAAAAGCAATTATATAAGCCTTAGATAACTAAGGAGTGGTCTCACTATTGAAGAAAGCACACAAAAGGAAGAGCCAACTAACTCTCACGGACGCATAGACCGGACCGACCAAGTGTGCCCAGGTGTGACTTCACGTTCTCAGCAAAACTCGATCTCACACTTGCATGCGGAGACACAATCCCACGTCAATCTCTTGAGGTTGGGGGAGCTTCGATCTCATCCATCAAAGCTTCTGTCGCCTGATAGTATGAAGTCAAATTAACCTCTTTGAAGTTGACGAAAATATTATACTTTCCTGGTAAGTCAAACCGGTAGTCGTCGTTATTTCAAAGCACATTCTGATACAATGAGTATTCATCATGTGTTAGCACAACCTGAATTGAAGTTGCTTGTAGATATAGATTCTTACAAAGTAACTCTCGAGCCATTAAATATGTAATTTGTTTGTCTCACTCTTCGTATTCGATTGAACGACTCTGATAAATAAGTGTGTCAAAAGAAATCAATTTTGGAATGAAATCAGTAGCAAACTAAACCACACTGAAGTATAACTGCTCAGGAGAGCTCTCTTCTTCTTCTCTATAAAGACTTGAATGCCACTATAGGATGTTTTTTCCCCTATAGATACTAAGGCAATTTCCAACACTATGGTTCATCCATTCTGTCCGATCAACCGTCACTGGGTATACAGTTGAACTGATTTTAATGTCCAAATGACTTCATATAACTTTTCAGATGTGGCACAAAAGAGTCTCATCTCTGACATATTGGACTTTCATCAGTAAGGACTTCTCAGGAGATAGGTCATATATCTAAAATTTTGAAATTCTCTTATCTAAGAATGTCAGTTCTGTTAATGCTCCTCTCAAAGCCTGCAAAAATATATTTTGCGGTACCACAATCTCATACTTTGTATAAATGCCTACTACCTTGGACTCACACCTATCAAGAATCATTGTTAAATCCATTAGAGTATCAATCACGGGTTCAACTTGAATTGCATGCATCCCTCCCTCATTAGTTGGAATCTAGTACTCCTCCTTCGTGTCCTCACAATCTTAAGTGTGTACCATATCATGGCCCATTTCTTCAATTGCTCGCTGTTTAGTGAAATAGATCATTCCTCTGGTTGAGTAATCTGTTTCATATGCCCAAATATGTGGCAACTAAAATATTTCCTGGCAGGAACAGATTTGGGAATACTAGTTGGTTCCGCATATTCTCCATTCTAAACTAATTTCTTCTCAAGCAGGGTCGGCTTGGATGCTCTCTTGGGAATGCTCTTGCTACTTGGTTTTGCTATTGAACTCTTTAAGTAAGTTGCCACGGTCACCCGGTGAAGTTCTCTCCATTTTTGAAGCTAAAGTATAAACATTTTGTATGTAAGGAACTAGTAGGTACTGACACCGTATATCTTGTTTCATCTTAGACCATGTAATAATTTTACCCTTCCCTTCTTGTTGTCGAAGAATTTTCAAGTCCTCCCACAAAAAAAAGGCACACTTAACTTGTTGGCGGCTAGTTTCACCATTACGTCTGGTGATACGTCCTAGTACTCAAAGACACATTTGACTATCCAGAGCCACTCGATGAACTCGTCTGAATCCATGCAATCGTTAAAATATGACAAATTCACCTTTACTTCAAATCCCGGCTTCAAATCCCGGCTTCTCCGATATTTCATGTCAAATCTTTAGGGTCTTGGTTCTTCATCTCTGGAATCTGTCACGTGGAAGGGATTCATTACATCCTATTGATTTGATGAATCACATTTGTGGCTACAGTTACTTTTGAACTGTCTTTTATCTCGAAGAGGGCAAACCTCTGTTGTAGACTTGTAGTTAAGGACTTTCCCTAGAAAGTAGTTGGATATCTCTTTGTGGAGTTAGCGTGGGGCTTTCCATGACCACGCAGGAGCAGGACTCTCCCGCAGCGTGATCGCGACAACAAGAACTCCCGCTAGTGAACTGACCGACCTAATTGAGGCCAGTCCAAGGGAATCCTAGTCCGAGTGGCCTGGGCGAGAATCTTGATAAGGCAAGCTGCCTCTCGCGCCCCGTCCCGTTCCTTTTCTGCATCCTGCTTGATCGAGCGACCATTTAGGAAGGGCGGCATTGCCGCTAATCCCTTTCTCCTCCTTATTTTTCCTTGATTTCCTTATGAGAGCTTTTCTTTTCTATTTTTCCCTTATGAGTCTTTAAATTGTTGTTTTCTGGATGTGATGTTTAGTTTTTGTTGTGTGTTGGTTTCAGATTCCTGTTTGGAGTCCTTTTTCCTTTTGTGGGTTGTATTCGAGGAGGTGGTGATGCTCCGACTGTATCCCACTCTGAGATAGTGATTGTATCTCCCATTTTATCTTCCCTGCTCCTCCACTTCCCTTAGCTATCGATCACCCTCAATAGCTCCCCCCTGCACTGCCAACCCCCTTTATGTTGTAGCAACCTATTAACCAACACATTCAGGTCCCTTTCGATAGACTGTCGGCTCCCCTACAACAGCTACCTTGTTGTCTCGACCTTCCCAACAGTTTTCCCACCTTCTTAGCTTGCTACCCTATCTTCCAACCTACCTCCCAGCCGCTCAACAAACCTTCCTGCCACCCTCCTCCAGTCTACTTTCCAACCTCTATCAGCCCTCTCCTGCATTCACCTTTGCTAGACCAAGCCTCTGGATCCAAGAGCCAACCTCCACCGCCCTTGGGATACACTTTCGAGGTGTTTGATTGTGTCGTCCTATGTTTTGGTAATGTTATTTTAATTTGTGTGTGTTGTAACCCTATTTTCCTATTAATAAAAGTTGTTTTTGTGGTTTGATTTTCTTCTTCTGGTATCATTTAGTATCAAAGCTAGCCCAACCAAAACCAAACCCTAAAATCTCTTTGTTGATTTTCAAAATCAGCAATCTCAAATCAAAGTTTATACACCTACAATTAGTCTCATGCACCATCTTTCACCTCCCAACCTTAAACCTTAATCATGCCACTAATGAGATACATACCCAAGCCTACACAGAAGAAGATATGACAGGAGAATCGTCGACTTCGGCCGTGCATTACGAATATTGTAGATGAAATCCAAAGGTAGGCTATCTCGATGGTGATCTGAAAGGTCGAAGAGAGGAATGGGAAGATATGAAGATAAAGCGGGAAACACATCGTTAGTTCCTTCCAACTTACTACCGCCAAAAGTTACAGTTCTTAGCATTAGAAAAGGAGAGACTGCGTCACCGAGCGACTCCCCCTGTCTGTTATCCAATAAAACCAAAGCCGCAAGGTTGACACAGCTAGAAAGTGTTGCAAATACCAAGAATTGGACATGTGGAAGCAGAATGCACAACCATGGGAGGATCTATTTTATTGATTAGGGCGTTACGAAAACATGGGATAAGGACACAACAAACACTAAAGATAGTAAGGACATCAACTGGAGTATCACTCACTCTTCCGAGTAAATTCTCCACTTGCAGCTAGCAAAGAAGAGACGCCACCGAATTCAGTTGACCCCAACATAGAGATTCCAATAGAGGAAACAATCGCTGCTCTAGAAGGTAGTAACTCTTGAGGTAATAGGCAGGCCAACAAAGCATGAGATTATGGTGCCTCGAGCTAGCATCCTACAGGTGGTGAGAGGAACATTAACAGGAATGACCTTGGATGTCTACAAGGATTATGATTTCGATGAGCCGACATTAGATATCGGTTCACCACGAATAAGGGAGATGCAAAATTTTCAGATGTATAGAACCTCTCTCGAGTTGCCCCGATGGAGGAAGGTCAAACATGACAAAAATGAGGTCATTATGTACCATGTCGAGAACATTACATGGAAATATTTAGAGGTTACTTTCAAGTCAACAGAGGACACCTCGCCAGATGTCAAAAAGGGAGAGATGAACCCCAACTTTGCAGTGGGCCTAAGAAGCTTGATGGAGACAAAGATTCTGCAATGGAATCCAAGTCCTATTTGTGGGGAGGAGGTCTCTCCTGAGGGGGTGTCAGTGTGATGGCTTAGCTTGCCACAGATTTCAACCCATAACTGAGTCTCCTCATATACTTATTACTCAACTGCCGCAAGCTAGGCACGAGACGTTGAAGGAAAAGATTTCAAAATTTTTAAGGGCTCAAAAGTTTCATTGTAGGAACTCACCTCTACATGCATCTCCAGCTCAGGAAGTGCCAAAAGAGGATGGATACATATTCTACCAGAATGTGTTGTGGAATGACTACACGGACATGATCGATCTACCAGAGGACTTACCATCATACCATGAGAACCCAAAATTTCAATGAATGAGGCCGAAGCTTCCTCAAACCCGAGAGACTGACGCGGATCTTGCCGTGACCACGCGGGAGCAAGACTCTCCTACACGGGATCGAGGAAGCGGGAAGTCCCGCTAGTGAACCGACAGGCGTAATTGAGGCCGGTCCAAAGAAATCCCAAGATAAGCAACCCATCCTGATAGGGCGAGCGGCCTCCCGCGCCCTGTCCTATGCCTTTACTGCATCCAGCTCGATCGAGTGGCCGTTTAGGAAGGGCGGCATTGTCACCAATCCCTTTCCCCTCCCTTTTCTGTGATTTCCTTATGAGAGCTTTCCATTTATGTTTTCCCTTGTGAGAGTCTTTAAATTGTTATTTTTCGGATATCAGATTTAGTTTTTGCCGTGTATTGATTTCAGATTCCTATGTAGAGACTTTTTTCCCTTTTTGAGTTGTATCTGAAGAGGTGGTGGTGCTCCGATTGTATCTTACTTCGAGGCGGTAATTGTATCTACCCATTTATCTCTCATACTCCTCCTCCACTTCCCTTAGACGTCGGCCACCCCCAACTTCTTCTCATGCACTGCCGCACCTTTTGTGCTGCAGCAACTTGCTGTCCAGCCCTTTTGACGCCCCTTCCAGCAGACCATCGACTCCCCTATAGCAGTTATCTTGCTATCCCAACCATCCAAACTGTTGCCCCACCTTCTCAGCTTGCTACTCCACCTTTCAACGAAAAAAATTTGCAAACGTAAGACGTACACAGCGATGCGTACGTTTTCGAGATTATACCGAGGGTATAAGGGGGTTATACCTGTGTTATAACCCCTTGTAACCTCCATGTAACCTAGTGTAACATACTTGAAACATACAAATAAGTTTTGCGGTTCTGTTTTAATATGTTAAGAACTTATTTGTATGTTACAGGTAGGTTACACTAGGTTACATGGAGGTTACGAGGGTTTATAACACCGATATAACCCTCTTATACCCTCGGTATAACCTTGAAAACGTATGCAATGCTGCATATGTCTTACGCAATTTTTTTCCACTTTCAACCTACCTCTCAGTCACCCAACAAACCTTCCTGCCACCTTAACTTGCTGCTTCCCTCCTCCAGTCCAATTTCCAACCCCTGTTGGCCCTCTCCCGCATTCAGCCTTGCTGGCCCAAGCCTCCAAATCCACCGGGCTAACCTCCACCGCTCTTGGGATACACTTTTGAGGTGTTTGATTGTGTCATCCTATGTTTTGGTGATGTTATTTTCAATTTGTGTGTTGTAACCCTATTTCCTATTAATAAAAGTTTTTTGAAATCAGGATTTCTCATAAGTGGTATCGTGCCCTTTTGCCACAATCAAGTTTCTGGCTAATGTCTCTTTGGTGGTATGGCTAAGGTTTATGTCTGGCTAGGGTTTACAGGTGTGAAAGAAAAAAATTGGGGTTAGGGATGGGGCTTTAAATAACCCTAGGATAAGACTAAGGTTAGGCTGGCTCTGATACCGACTAAAATTAAGGTGTGGGTAGGTGCGATAGGATATATGTGTGTGATGTCAGGTGTGAAAGAAAATTTTTGGGTTAGGTAGGGGGTTTAAATAATCCTAGGAAGGGAATAAAGTTGGGCTAGTTCTGATACCAAATGATACCAGAGTTGATCTAAATAACAAAAAACAAACAACTATGATTACTGAAAAAAGTCAATATGCAGTTACAACCAACACAAAGAAATGAAAACAAAAACAACGGACTCAATACTCAACTAGGTATGTATCCCACAGGAGAGGTGGTCGATTGGCAGTTTGGAGGGCTAGATGGTGGAGTGACACAAGGGGGCGATGGTGGCAACAAAAGGAATGTGAGAAACTGCCACAATAGAGAAAAGGCGGGTTGTTCTGGGTGATGACAGCAAGGACCAGGGGGAGGGGGGAGTGGGACAGCAGCAAGGTCGCACGGTGACTTGGTTTGGGTGGGCATGACAGCGACAGTGTGGGAAATGTCTAGGATTGTGATACAATAAAAGGAGGGTTGTCCCAGGGGTCAGCGTGGAGGATGACCGGAACTATAGGAATAACAACAAAAGGCTACTATCGGAGAGGCCTGTAGTGAGGATTGCGTTGGAAGGTATGTCAGCGATAAATACCCTCTCACAAGCGAGCTACAGTCAGAACACCACTTGACCCTTGGGAGGGCAACCACCACTTCGAAATGAGATATAATTGAAGAACCACTCGCCATTAGATACAATACTAGAAAGGAAAAGAAGAAATGCTGACAGCTGCCCGAGCAGAAACATAATCAAAACTACAAACCTAAAACACGAAAAACAAATATATAAGCCCTAGATAATTAAAGAGTGGCCCCATTATTGAAAAGAAGCGCCCCATCCAAAAAGGAAGAGCCAGCTGACTCTCACAGACGCCTAGACCGGACAGTCCAAGTGTGCACAGGCATGACTACACGTTCCCAACAAAACGCGATCTTGCACCCGCATGTGAAGATGCAAAATTGTGTCCCTTTTGGCGCCCACACACACAATGATTGAATCCCAAAATAGTCCCACTAATATTTAAGGTTGATCAATTTAATCTCAGAGTATCTATTTCTTTAATTTAATCTCTCGATTATATAAAATTAATCCCAAGTTAATCCCCGAGAAGATATGTGATACTATAAAAATAAATTGGTTACATGCAAATAGTGGGGAGACTATTTTACGGACATAATCATCATTAACTTTATTCCAACTATTTGAAGTTTGCATTTCAAATCCTTACATAAGATTTCTTCCACATCATTATACACAACTTTTAGTAATGCCTTTGCCATATCGTTTCTCAACATTATCATCTCTCTCCATCTTACATGTTCAAAGCACCCAAGTTTATTTATTTACTTGATAACTCACTATTTCTCTGTCTCTAAAAATAAAGCCAACAAATTCAGGATAACTTAAATAATGAACAAGGCAATAACTAAATAATGCACAAAGTATAAATCTTCAAGAATAACATCACATAAGCAATAAAGCAAAGTTAAAAATCTGTCATCTGCGCACCTTCACTAGAGTGCAGGAATAGGAATCAAATGCAAGTAATACCATCTACAATCCATCATTAATCTAAACTAGCATTTTCTAAATGTATTAAAATTTTCCAAGCAAAGCAAGAATTTTAATTAAGAGCCAACAGTAATATTCTTAGCTGACTAAAATTCCATATTGCAGGCAGGGTTACTCTTCTTCATTGCTGTTTTCTGGGGATTTTTCCCAGTATTCACAGCAATCTTTACGTTTCCTCAAGAAAGAGCTATGTTAAACAAGGAACGAGCTGTTGATATGTACAGACTAAGTGCATACTTCATGGCCAGAACAACGAGCGACTTACCATTAGACCTTTTCTTGCCAGTAATATTTCTGCTGATCGTCTACTTTATGGCAGGATTAAGACAGAGTCCAGAACCGTTCTTTCTAAGCATGCTTACTGTTTTTCTCAGTATTGTTGCCGCACAGGTATGCTTTACACTATGGCATATAAGGCTAGCTCTAAAAGCAGCATTCTTGTTCGCAACTCTCTAAAATTCAACTCTCTCAAAATGAGCAGGGACTTGGACTGGTAATTGGAGCTGCTCTTATGGATATGAAGAAGGCAACTACCCTAGCTTCAGTGACTGTCATGACTTTCATGCTTGCTGGAGGTTTCTTCGTAAAGGTAACCAATAAAGCATTCTAACCTTCTAGGCAAGTAACTTAGCATATCAAATTCCTTAACAAATAGGAAGATTTATGTACATACCACTTAATTCTTATGTATTTATTTACATATATGTATTTACATATCTAACACCTAAACTTCAATTTTTACATATATGCCACCTAACCTATGTAAGAAAAGTGTATTTCACTTTTTAAAAATCAAAATAGTGACAGTTTTTATGTGATATGAAAGATTTGGGTGGTATAAAACTATAAATGTAAAAAGTATAGATCTTAGATCAGTAAATACAAAAGAATTGCAATATAGTATATCATAGAAAATCCCTAGAAGAGCTATTTTGTTCTTCGATTATTGAGAAGAGCCTTTTAAAGTTACCCGTCATTTCAAGTGCCGTGTAGTTGAATAAGGGAATGCCGCCATTACTTTCAAGAACGAAAGGCTAAGACAAAACCCAAAAGCAGATCCACTTGCAAGAACAACTAAGCATCGATTAAAACCAATCATCAATTGCACAATTAGCTATAAAAGTATGTTTCTTTCGTCATTTACTCAAGCACAGAAATAGAATCAATTTGTTTTAGTTAGAAGGTAGCTTTTTCATACATTCAAAAACACTCTAAAATCATTTTCCTTCCTTCACTAAATTTGTAATGATTCTACGTGATCTTAACCCCATATATGAATTTTTTCTAAAAAAGCACATTATTTATGGTTCATGTTTAGCATATATATTAGTGTTCATTTCATCAATATATTTTTCATTAAGCTTTCTCCTTATAAACACATTCAACTACTTATTCTCAACTATCACGCACAATATTTGCCAAAGCCAGGAAAAAGGAGCCATAATACTCGATGATTAACCATAAGAATCTACTTAATAACAATATGCGAATAGAAATTAGTAATTAGATGGAGTGGCTAACACAATTTTCCAGGGACAGCTCTGAACAAGTTTTCCACAAGCTGAAAGTAGTTGAGGATAATATTCTTCTTCAGTCTCAAACACAGGCAAAAATCAAATGAAAAAAATTGGATTAATATGAAACTTAAGACACTCCTTCAACATATTTCCTTTTCTTACAAAACCATGAACACCTTTACAAAGAAGGAAATGAAATCATATAAGATACTTTCTGTATTATCATACAGCATAGAACGTAAACAATAAGCACTTTCTCCAACGAATACCTAACTTAGAAATATCACCAATGTTTAGTGAATTTAAATAATTTTTACAATAACTTTTGGTTTGTTGAATTTATGCGGAGATAAAATTATAACTTTGAAAGTTTTTATGTGCAGAGAGTTCCAGTATTCATATCATGGATCCGCTACATCTCATTCAACTATCACACATACAGGCTTCTCCTGAAAGTGCAATATGATCATGTACCACCCTATTTAAATGTAAATCACCTCGACAACGGTGCCAAAGAGATTGGTATAATGGTAGCTATGATTTTTGGGTACCGACTCCTAGCTTATGCTTCCTTAAGGCGGATGAATATTCCAAACGGTGCTTGAACATTAGCCCATTGGCAAAATGACAAGGGACAAGAGAGATGTTTCACCATCATCTCCTTTCTACTATTAAACCGCAGAGCTAATGCTTTTTTGTTCTGAATGAGAGAACTCTAGGATAATTCTCATACAAACCCATTTTTTTCTTTTGTAGTTTTATGGGTTTGTAAGCTAAGAAATAGGTCTAGTATGAACTAAAGACGAGTCATTTAAAGTACTTTATAAACTCTTAGTAAGGTCCTCTGCAACAAACATCACATTGGCAGGAGTCTCGTGTGCTAGGTGCACCCTTTTTAGGGTTTGCAAGAAAAAGCTCGATGTTGCAAGTATGTACTTACTGAGAGGTTTTACTAATTTTGACAAGTTTTATTAGAGCATCACAGCATATGTTTGGTGCATATACACTGCCCATAGCCATATTAAACTCCCTACAAGGATATCAAAGACAGTGAAGGAGCAATCCTCTCAGCGAGGAATAATAAAAAACCTAGAAGACATGATGACAGTCCAAAGGCCAGGTTAGAGCTTAAATGATATGGTTGAGCCGTGGACAAGTTAGAGCTTAAATGATCCGGTTTTGGGCAGTTCCAAAATTGATGTGAAATTGAATTAGACCAATGAGACTGGATCAAACACATTTAGGGGCCGTTTGGGATTACTTTGGTTTTTTACTTTTATTTTTTGTTTTTATTTTGTTTATGTTATTACTTAAAATGTAACATGTTTGGTAAGTTATCGGTTGTTTTTAAAAACACTCAAAATAACATTTTGACAATTTAAGTGCTTTCAAAAAAAATTAATTTGTTTTTAAAATAAAAAAATAAAAGCATTCAAAAAATGGCTCAACTTTGGGCTGTAAAATATTGATTTCAAGCCAACTAGAAATTGATTAAATGATTTATTATTCCAATAAAAAGCAATAATAAAAAATAAATTACAGATTTACAACTAATAACATCAAAATTTCACTATAAACCATAAAAAATAATAAATAAAATTCTAAATATCAGTAATATCAACTTTATAGCTCGCCAATAATAATTAGTTATTCAAGCAACCACATTAAAATATCAATAATATGAGCAACAATAAATAGAAATAGGTTTTTTAGAGTTGACATGCTAGGATGAACTGCACTTTGGAAAATGAAGGCAAGGAATACAATGTCCAATATTTATTAGACATGGGCATGCATATGACACGGCAATAACAAGTGGCGTAAACATATTTAAATTTTAACTATATATATATATATAAGAAGTGTGTCAAACACTCCAGAAAATACTAGAAAATGATTGGCTTTTTCGACATACTTCTTTCTATTAAAAAAAAAATTTAAGCGCTCCTATGTCTCTTTAAAAGCTAAAACGGCAAGACGACTCATTATTTCATTCACCTTTTCTTTCAATTGGCAAGAGTTTTAAAGTGAGTCATTTTTAAAATTTTAAATATGGGAAATTGATATTTATGATACAGCATTTATTAAATTATGAGCACTATAATTTTATTCCATTATTGATCATAGTACTTTTTACAAATAAGTGATTTGAAATCAATAATAATCATGAATGCAAGTCAAGCCTAACCTTTATTTGAATCTTTTTATTTTTCAAAAAAAAGCAAGATAGGCATTTGATGTCCATGTCATGAACGTGTCCCCGTAGTCATGTCCGAGCATTACCAGTTGTAACTTGCATCATTGTTAATAAAAGTGAACACAATGTCTGAAGAATGGCGCACAAGACAGTCATGACAGTTAATACTTTCTTACACCCAAATTTTGATGCAAGCTTTTAATTCATTTGTTAAAAGATACTTATTTTTTTACATAAGAAAGTAAAATTTCCTAATAAAAGCAAGTTTGCATGAGAATATCAAGAAATTTATACAGGATATCACTTTTCATAGGTTATTCCCAACATTGCATTGAATCCATAATGACCAATCTAAAACCAATTGCAAGTACCTCCAGCGCCTTAAGCTGGCAGGAAATGGCAACGTTGCATCAGCAGCCCATCAACAACTGGCCTGTGCCGCTAGATGAAGAACTGCTGGGCTTTGTCATCAAGTAGAGAAGTACACCACGCCTGAGATTATCAATCCACTCTCCTCATGCAATTGTCCTTAGCCACCCAAGAAGACGTAAGAGGGCAGCATCCAAAACTGGAGCTCTTTTCTCTAACCCTGCAATGTATAGGGTAAAAAGTGAGAAACAAAAGTCACTAACCAAATTTTTTTATTATCAAAAAATAAAGGTGGAAAACATTGAAAGAAGGGCAAGTAGCACAACATTAAATTAACTTCTAGATTACCATTCAAGCATAAAGATCCCGTCACAAATGTAAAAAAGGCTATGCATAAGAGGTGGCGGAAAAAGTATCATTGATATTAAATTAACCACTAGTTCTATGCCATCAATGGACGACTTTCTGTGGAATGCCAGTTGCTTCCTCGGTAATAAGAGGAAAGAATAAATGTTATTTTATCTTGTACCATACTTTGGAGTTTTACCTTGATAGGAATACAGAATGTATTTGGCACGAAGGTATGTCGGTATAGATCCCAAGATGTAGTTTCGGCTAGCGTGGACATGGAATGCTGACTATATTTTCCTCGAATGGAAATTCTTAGAGGAAATCCTCCTTGACCTCTGCAACTTCGACATGAAGGGAACGCTGCTGAAGTTGGGTTGATGGATGATTGATTTCTAGGGATCTAACAATTGTGTTTATTAGTATTCCAATTTACATGCGCCATAAATTTTAGTTCTGTTTCCTTACCAGGTTCTGTTAATTCATTCCAAATTTCTCAACTTTATTAAACACTTTTTGAGGCCAAGTTCAGAAAAATAAAAGTAATGTGTGTTAGAGAATTTGCGGCTGTAGAGAAATGAATTATCGTCTTAGCATTGCATGAAGAATCCATTACACACTCACGAATAATAATCACAAGTAGAAACATCATAATTTTTTGTGTGAAAAGCCTAGAAAAGAAAAAAACAACGAGGCCTAGCCAAGTTGAAATAATCCACTATGAGTTTGTGATTACACGTACAAGTCTTTATCCCACAAGTGAGAAAGGATTACATAGTTTCTCAAGTTATAATGGGTGTACAGAAGAGCTCGTTGCCCCACTATTTGGAGCGGTCGCAGTGGGGAGTAGTTGTTGGAGCTTTGATGCACAGTCTTAGAGGTTGACAGGCTTATGGAATGATGCACTGCTTCGTAAGATGCTTAGTGACTTTGGGCGTCACTTGTTACTTTGAATAGTGCTTCGTCACTCCACAACGCAAGTCTTGATTCCTTATAGAACTTTGTTGAAATGAGTAGAGGGCGGTTGACGGTGGACAGTGGCTGGCGAGTGGTGATTGAAGATTGTTGGCAACTGCAAGAGCAGGAGGTATTCGTTGGATATGTGATGCAGAAGTGATGTTGGCTTCAGCTCCTCCAAGCTTCAGACTTCTTTTGACTCGAGCTCTCCTCCCATCTCAAGAGGGAGGTAGAGCTCTATTTATATAGTCTAGGGAAAGCCCCTCTACAAATAAGAAAGGAATTCAAATAACTCCATCAAACGGTCCGAAAAGAATCACACTATCGGATGACGTTCCATGAAAATTTGAGTATTTTAATGATGTCAGAATTGAGCGATCTCGGGCTATTTGGATTATTCTAGCCAAGACACTTGATTTGAATGCTTCATATTTGGACTGAAAGCTTCCAAAAGTGGTTTAACTGTTTGATCTAGACTTGATTTGACTCAAATTAGTCCAATTTTGGTATTATTGGATACATCTCATCAAGTCGGTGGTTTTGGCTAAAACTTTGTTGAAACCAGAGTTCTGGATAATTTTTAATCGAAGTTTAAAATTTTCCTGCTCAAAAAGTTGCCTCAAGATTTGTGTCATGCCTCGAGATTTGTGCAAAATGATGAAATTTGTTCATGGAATACCAAGAAATAAGCAAATTTCAAATTATATTGCTACACTTCTCGATATCGTTCTAGGGCTCTCTAATAACCGAATAATAATAATAATAATAATAATAATAATAATAATAATAATAATAATGAATGAATAAATAAATAAAATCTTATTTATGTAATGTCAATTCGAATATAACAATCGAGTGGTTTCTTTTTAGGAGGCGTATGTCTCATTCAAGATGAGAGTCGAGAGGGAGAACATGAGAGAATGAGAGAAAGAAATAAGAGGAAGAGAAAAATGATGTGCGGGTCAAAGCGGTGAAGAAGTCTAATGCCACTTGCAGAAAATAACGATGTCAGTAGCAAGAGAAAAAGAGGAGTGTCTCGTGCGCATCACTGTCGAACATGGGAATAATCATGTTGGTGATGGCAGAAATCCTAGCCATGAGTCACGCAAGAGACAAAGCCAAAGAGTAGGATCGAACGAGTCATTGCGGTGGGGAGTATCTTACCGAGCAAGCTTCCTGTGCAAGGAGAGGAGAATAGATGTCGATTGAGGGAGACGATGCTAAGTATTAGTTAGCTTGTGTGAAGAAAGCAGAGCCAAAGGCGAGGGAAGAAAGAAGCTCTGCTTGCAAGAAGTGGAGCAGCCCTAGATTTCAGATTTCTCTCTCATCCGTGAGATCAGGTCGAACTGAAGGTTTAAGGTAAGCATAGGATTATATGTTCTCATATATATATATATATATATATATATATATAT